CCAAGTTGCGAACCCCCCCAGCCTGAGTGATGGAACACTGATCGAATTATTGGGAGGGAAACACAACAGCCACTCGGTCTTCTCCGGGTTGAGCACAAGTTTGGTAGCCCTCATCCAGTCCATAATGGCTTCAAGGCCCCGGCTCATCACGTCCACCGCTTCATTGAGTTGGCACGGGGCAGACAGATACAACTGAGTATCGTCCGCGTATTGGTGGTATTTTATCCCGTGCCTCCGAATGATCTCGCCCAGCGGTTTCATGTAGATGTTAAATAGTAACATAATAAAGATAATGTTTGACTAATAGCATATTTTTTAAAAGCTGTACACACTTTAACTAAGCTTAGCAATAGTAGGTGATAGCACTATGGCTGAATCTGGAAAAAAATGAGACTGCAAAAAGAGAATTTGAAAATGACTCTGAGACCATATGTTGTTCATCCCTTCTGTCCTATAGATTCATGATATTGTAAATATTTTTCTTGACTACACATCATTATACGGGTTCTCCTGTATCTTGTCAAAGTTCAATAGCATTCCACTGGCCAAAGTCGGCAAACATATGCCCCCAAAATGCCCATTGCAAACAAGGGCTTTGTAGTATATTCTCAGTGTTGTTTTTTTAATAGCAGCTATTAATAATAATAAAAAAAACCAGAATAACAGTTGGAAAGGACCTTGGAGGTCTTCTAGTCCAAAGTCCTGCTCAGGCAGGAAACCCTATACCATTGTTCTGAATAACATAAAGACACCATGGCTTGTAATTATTTTATGAACTACCTAGCCCACCTTGCTTTGAGTCTATCAAAACCATTGAGACATTATTATACTCACTAGAGGTCATTTCTATCAAATTATTTTTTCTTACTCTTGTTTCAAAAAATGACACTGCAAAAAAACTTAAGGATTGATAAACTGTGTTTCACCAGATGTTGATCTGCAGTTCCCAGTATCCCTCATTATTGGTTATGTTAACTGGTCCTTATGAAAGCTGTGATTCTGCAACATCTGGAGGTCCACAATTTCCTTACCTTTGCAAGTGATTCAAGCTGAGATGTAAATGTGATACATTAAAAATAAATATCCAGGGTGCTGGTTATATTAATATGTCCACTAGAAATAAATGGAATGTTATGATTGTGCATCAGTTGTCCTGGGGCTTTTCAATGACAGCTCTATATTTTGGTACTAATCTTATAATGGATAATACTTTACACAACCCGTTACTCGAAGTTTAACTGATCATGATCTAAGAGCATCATGTTCTCAAGGAGTTATCATCCACAATTCAAGCCATCTTCCTCAACATCAAGTCTTTTCCTATTGTTACTTTTGAGAGTTGGAGAGCCAGGGATGGTGTAGAGCAGTTGGGAATTTTCCATTGTGATCCCATCAACTTACAAGGCTGCTATTCCTGAACTTTACAAAGCTGTCTAATGATATTAACTTTTCAACCTTGAAGAAAAGTTCCAAAATAACTTCAGCAAGATTCTAGTATTGTAGTTCAAGTTAAAACAAAACAAAAAAACCCTCTTAAGAGCTGCTTTAAAAATGCAAACTGCCTATATTGTAAGACAATGTTCAGTATCAACTAATTATAAAAATTTACCGTATTCAAGTAGGTTAATAAGCATCTCTATATCAGCCAAAGAGGTTATGCTAATGAGTGTGCTATTATCATCCTGGCAGGAGAAAAATGCTTCATTCCAGTTCCTTTCTTCTTTATGAAGTTTATAGCAGTAATTATTATATGGATACCAATTACTGTCACAGTCAGTAGGATAAAATTTCCAGGAATCTTTTAATTAAAACATATAAAAAAGCAGCTATATTAACAAACTGAATAATCTCTTACTTTTATATAATTTTATTTCACATATAGTATGTGAGAACATTAGCTTTTTCACATTATTTTCTATTTTTCTTTACAATAATAAAATGTATTAATATATAAAATACAAGAGCAAACGTGTTATAAAATCAGAAAAAGAATGTGCAATTACACAAATAAAACTGCAAAATAATCATTCAGCAATTTGATCTTTATGAAGTTTCATCACACTGACTTGATCTACGCTCTGTAGGTAATGAACCAATTGAAACTTGATTACGACTGACTGGCAGACCTTCCAAATCTTTTGTCATTATCATTCAATCACAAGTACATTTAGAAAACATATTTAGTGAAAATTTGTTTAGATATGTGCATTATGAATAACAATGAAAAAATACACTTTTAAATGCAAATTAAAAGCCAGAACAAGAAATAAGGTTGTAATATTCAAACAACACTATTAACCTGCCTGATAATATAGTATGTAATTCACAAACATTTATATAACAGTAAATTCATCTAGCCTTTAACATATATATATTTTAAAAAACCATAGGCTTAACTATAAGTCATACTGGATTCTGTGAACTGAAAAGTAAGTCCAAATTGCAAGTTTGGATAATACTTTTGTTAAACTTAAGTGGTCTTTATAGTAATCATATATTTAAATGAACATTTTAAATTCACTTCATATGAAATGAGGGTGGATTATGAGTAAATATATCATATGCTTCAAAACAAGACCAAATATTGTTCTAAATTTATATTAGGGAAATTATCTACATATTTATGTATATATGTAAAAGCCAAGATTCTCCCTGAGAAAACAATAAAATTGTGTATGATCACGAAGTGATATTTCTTGGTTTAAATTTTATTTTTTGAATGGTTGCCATTAACATCTATAGAGCCAGGAATATAGAATAGCCAGTCAAAAAGGATTTTTTTGAGGTAAATAAAAACAACAATATTTATCTAGTTGAGAGGCGGGGCCTGATGTCGCTATGACACGACATGCAATCTTGAGGCTATAGGATTGCTGTCGATATCTCTGTTGCTGGACGATCCTTTTGGATCTAAACCGTTCTGAAGGAATGGTCCTGCTGATCTCAGGGGCATCACAAAGCCTCTGATTGATCCAGGAAAAAGCTCTTTTTGCTGGCTACAACAGAAGCAGCCAAAATGGCTGCAGAAGGTTGGGACAGACCCCTGAAACGGAAGCAGAATAGAAGAGACAGTGTGTCGAAATGGTGAGAAAAATCCTTATTATTAGAGAAGAGAAAACCCAAAAATCTTAGAGTTAAAATAAAATTGAAGACAGAAGGAAGCAAACTGCGAATTAACGCTGGTTTAAAACAATCGTGTTATCTTTTTCACTTTAACTTTGTTTGTTTTCTATGGATGGACTTTTTACAAATGCCTTTTACTTTTAAACTGGACTGGTCTTTTTTTTTTCCTTCTTCCTCTATACTTTTTCCATTTTTTGTATTTGTGGATTAAAAGTTTCTTCCCTTGCAAGCCTCGGCAGGATCATAATCTTTAAACTTTTTTTTCTTCTCTTCCGGAGTTCGGAGCTTAAAAAGAGAGGCAAAAACAGAGGGAAAGGATGTAACACTGCCATCTAGAGGCTAGAGGCTTGGCAACATCTGATAATACAAAACTATTGGCTTTGTTTACTGAAAGGGTCAGTGGAAAACGTCTTGTTTATACAGGTGTTTCTTTGAAGGAAAGAGAAAGATTTGAACTGAAAAACTTCACTGAATTTGTTTGAAACCTAGCAAAAGCCTTGGATGTTTTCGTGGCAGTGTTTATAACCTGGAAAAACGGCTCAATATGAAGAAGAAAAGGGACTAACATTGCAAAGAATTATGCTAGAAATTCAAAAAGTCTTAATAATCACAGAGAGAACTGAAAAGAGACTTGAAATTATAGATCAAAATACAGAAAGTACGGAGGGAAGAGTTGAGAATACTTATAAAACAACGATGAAATTTGAGGACAGAGTTCAAAAAACCAGAGAGACATATGAAAGTGATAAGAAAATTGTTGACACTGACAGCAAATCGAGAATAGAGGGAAATGATAAGTGCGAATTACGAAAAGGAGAGATCGATGAACTGGAACTCTATCAGATGTCAAAATATAGATGAAGAAAGGGGAGAAAATTTGGCAGAAACAATGAGAGTAATTTTGGCAGAAGCACCAGCGATAACAAAAGTCAAGCTGATGAAAGGAACAGATAGAGGGTTTCAAATCTTTATAAGATATGCAATGAATAACAAATTGTCAAGAGAAGTCCACATAATACTTATCAAGAAAACACTTAGAATACAAATTCTACAAATGGCAAGAAATATTGGATTGCACTATTTCTGGAAGGATACAGGATGATGAAATGAAATGTCACAATAAAATTTAGTTAAATGTAGTTAAATTTTGAGTACTATGTATAAGACAAAGAAATAATAGCTATAGTCAAATAAATGATCAATAATAATAATAAAACATTTACATATATTAGATTGATAATATGAAATTTTATACAAACTGTAAGTGAGGATGATGGAGATGATGTTGAAAAACATTTTTATAAAAGATAAATAATTCTATATAGAATAGAATATAAAGATGTAATATCATTGGATGATTTCAGGATGATGTAATCAAAAGCCATAATATAAATTTACTTCAAATTTAATATATTTAACAATTATAACAATTTGTATACATGTATATTAGATTGATGATACTAATAATGGAAAAACCATGGACTTGAAAATTATTAGAGAATGTTATCAATGCTAAAATAATAGCATAGAATAGGATATAAAAATTATTTGGTTGGATATGTTGAAGATGATATAATGAATCATTATAATATAAATGGATACATATTTAGAATGCCTTGTTTAAAATGCAGAAATAATAGTGATAATCAAAAAAATGAAGTATAATAATAATGTATACAAAGATATTTGATTGACAAAAAGTGATTTTTGATAAAGCTCAAATGATGACTATGGAAAGGACGCAGAAAGACCTTGTAAACCAATCGACATACTGTATGCAGTTGAAGAGGTTTTTATGTTACATGTTTTGTGTGTTTGTTTGAAAATAAAAAAAATATTAAAAAATAATATTTATCTAGTTATTATTTTTGCAGCTGTTTGGTGATGCAATATCATTTAGTTCCCCGAAAATAAGATAATAAAATTGCTGAGATTAAACTTCACAAGGTTTGATAGTTTTACATGAAATCTTATCAGAGTTTTCAGTCCCCCCCTCTAGATACTGGTTTAGGAAATTGTACCTTGGTACCCCCCAAAATTTTTTTTACCTTCAACTTTTTTATTAGTTTATTGAAGTATAAAATACAAGGAAAAAAGCATGGAAAAGTAAGAAGAGAGGATGTAAAAAAGAGTTGGTATAGTGTAATGGAAGGGGAAAAAAAGGCAACAACTTCCGACTCTCTTTAGCACAGTGAAAGGTAACAACATTACAACAACTTTTTGCTTTTACACAACAATATGTACAAGCCATTTCTACAACAATAAACCTGTCTAATTTACAAAAACAGAATCAAAGTTTCTTTTTTTTCTCACCGCAAACACAAAATCCAGAAGCAATTTCAAACTAGAGACAAAATTAAATATAATTTCTTATTTGGCTCCCCCCTCTGGATACTAATTTAGGAAATTGTACATTGGAATCCCAATTTTTAAAAAAAATAAAAGATGGACAGGCCAACATTATGTCTTTTTTCCTCCATGGGCTATACTTAATATTAAGCAATTCCTAAATTACAATCAACTAATTTTAAAAATGAGGGAATTAGCATTTACTTGGAAATTTCAATATATTTCCATGAGAGTATTATTTCATTTCTCAATATACAAACATATACACATATAAATCAATTGCAACATTCACTCTGAACCTTTGGCATGCAGAATGAGTACCTCTTTGTTGAGCCAAACATACAAAAATGCTTAGCAAAGCTGACTACTCTTTATGGATTTCCATTAAGAAGCTCAGACTGCTGGTATATTTCCTTTATGTGGAATCCATAAGTAACTCTGTATATTTCACTGGAGTTTAAGTAATATAAACATGAGTTATTTATTTCTGAAATCTACCAGACTAGATGGAAAGAAAATCTTTTGGCAACATTCATTTCTGATTGTAAAAAGTATGTTTTATGCCTCCAAAATGGCACAAGAGAATCCTTAGATGTTCCACCAGCATCAATGTTTATTTCATTAATTTAAAAATATACTTCCATTATTTCTTTGCACCCCAGGCATAAATATCAGATATCAAACTGTCTAAATCCCATCATGTACTAATGCATAATAGAATTTCATTTTATTACAAATAGAATTAGAGAATAAAATCACAATAGATTGATAGTGGTAACCTACCAACTGCTTCATGGTCAGTAGCATTTAAGTATTTTTTGCATATGTATGGTAGTTCAGATTCACATGGGTAACTTGGCCAATCATTTTGTATTTTTAAGTTAAAAGCTTTACAGCGAGGTGCTCCTAGAGATCTGTCAATGGGATCTGCAAACAGAGTTTTATAATAATTTATATCTTTACAAAATACTCAGAGAAAATACCATAGTGACAGGAAAAAGTCTATTACTTTTAGCCCCCATTGACAGGGGACTCTCAAGTAGTAACATGTTTTTCTGTGCATAGAACACACAGTCATCACACCATCCCTCAGGTGTTGTTACAATATACATTCAGATTTCTTGGGTGATGACACATGGAAGGGTGATTCAAGAGTTCTGGTATTACTAGTCATTGCCAAACCATGTTGTCTAGAACTAATATATATATGCGCCTGTAGCTGGAGCAACTTCCAAATCAACTATGGGTTCAACTTTTGATAATAGATTGATATCAAAACAGAATTATTGACAACTACTAAAGTAGTCAATTCTTAGCTTATTCTATGAAGGTTGAACGGAATGGGACCAGTCATCAAGGCCAACTTGCCATGGCCAACTCACTGTGGGTCAACTCACCATAACCAACTTGTCACAGAACAATTCAATTCAATTATTTAAAATAATTTTAAAAAATATTTTAATTTTTGTCATTTACATTTAATTTTGCCTGTCCTTTGATATAACCACAACTCTTGTCCCTCAGTGAGTTGGTGTGGCGAGTTGGCCACAGCAAGTTGCCTGCGGTGAGTTGGCCACAGCAAGTTTTTGTAGGCTTTAATTTTAAAGGTCAAATGCACAATGCCTATGGTAGTGGTGAACCTTTTCGGCATTGAGTGCCCAAACTGGAACATGCTAGAGCGCCAGAAATCTGAAGACCAGCTAGCTGGCATGCCAGCCAGCTGGTCTTTGGATTTCCAGCACATGCCAGTGCATGCATGCCTGTTTTTCGGGCCAGTTTCAGGCCAGTTTTTGGGGGGATTTTTCAGGCATTTCTCAGGCCATTTTTCAGGCCAAAAAACGCCCGAAAGACAGTCTGAAAAGGGCCCAGAAAGGGGCCTGAAAAGCGCCAAAAATGGCCTGTGTTTTGGTCATTTGTCGGGCCATTTCCAGGCCATTTTCTGGTGCCCGCAAAGACCAGCTGGTGACGGCACACATGCCCACGGAGAGGGCTCTGTGTGCCACCTCTGGCATGTGTGCCATAGGTTCGCTATCATGGGCCTATGGTATGGACATGTTGGTCTAGAAAATCTATGAACCTAACTTTTGCATTTTTTTTCTTCCATTCAGTCATGTCTGATTATTTTAGACTGCCTAGACTAGTCTTTCCATTTTTCTACGTAAAACTTTTCAGAAGTGGTTTGACATTGTCTCCTTCCTAGGGCCCAGATTGTGTGACTGGCCCAAAGTTACCCAGCTGGTTTTGAGCCTGAGGAGGGACTAGAACTGAGTCTCCTCAGATAACAAACTGCATATCTCTCTTGCATATTAGCCTGCCTTTTAAAATCACATTCAGGGAATAATCTGTTTGCCACGCATAGAGAAAGTGACAAAAGTTTCAAATTAGAAGTCATAGTATGAATTCAATAAAATCTACCATCCTGCCCTCTCATAGCTCATGTTTATTTTGTGGACTGTAATTCAAAGACTGTATGTGGCCTTAATTATTCAATAATACTGAATAATTCATAATACACCATTTTGTTGAACACATATAGCACATCCATTTTTTCAAGAACAGTAAAAACGTTCCTCTTTAGCATGTTAAGATATGCAAATATTCTACTTTCTAACCCTGCTATTTTATATGTTCTAAGAAAGAAGTATTCATATTTAAGACTATGCAGTGCTCTAATTATGTCTGTAGCATTCCTTTCATTGGCATTTTGTACTCAAAACTGTGGCAGGGAAGCAAGTGGCAAGATATTATGAGATAGGTCTTTGAAAAGAGAAAGAAAAAAAAATTATTAGACACCATGTCTAAAGTAACAATATCAACCCGTTAGGTGGAATTTGTGAGACATTTGCCTCTCTTCAGAAAGCAGCCATTTCCCCCTATAATAGACAGAACTAATTGGCTGATTCACTCAGTCTATAATAGGGATATACAACCCACAGGCCTTAGACTGGCACCAGTCTATGGCCTGCCAGGAAGCAAGCAGCACAAGTAAGTGAAGCCCCATCTGTGCACACACAGGATCCAGGCACTTGCAAAGCCATATTCCCCTCCAGTCCACGGAAAAACTGCCCTACACGGAAGTGGTCCCTGGCACCTACAATGTTGGGGTCCCCTGATCTATAGGACTGATCTTATAGTTTTGCTAATCCCTCTCTGAATAGTACATTGCCAGCTGATTACTAAGTTGCAATAGATATACATAACAGTACTGTAATAAATCTAAGTGGTACCCATTTGCCAGTTCACTAAAGCCAGAGGTGCACCATCTGACCAATGCCAGCCAGCAGTTTCATCCAGTTGATTTAAGCCTGTCCATACCATAGTTTCTTTTGTGTTCAGTTGATCTGTAAAATATATTAAACACTCATAAACAGATTGTCATTCAGCTACCATCACAGTTTACTCTCAATAATGCAAGTTGTGAATGTTTAAACCAATGGAATGCAAGGATCTCCCTTGCCAAGTGAGATTTCTGCAGCAGATGTAGAAGTCAGCAATCTATAATTACTGTTTTCAGAAAACATCTGGATTGCTTCTTCCTTTCTCCTACTCTCTTTACCATGTCAACTGTGCAATAAAGAAATAGAAATGAGCCAGAGCAGGGAACTGCAGATGATTTCAAAAGAATTGTTTATTTCATGGACTTCAAGAGTTGAAAAGCAGTCATTTAAGCAGAGCTGCTCCAGCCAAAAAAGGATAAGCCCTTTTCTCCATTTTAGCATGCAGAACTAATGTATCCCAGACAGCTGTACTCAATATTTTTCTTCTAAATCAGTGTTCTTCACTTTTTCAAACTTGGCTACTTTAAGATGTGTGGACTTCAATTTCACACAATTCCAAAATTAAATTCTCAGACTACTCCAGACACCATGCTGTTTGGGGAATTTGGTGAACTGAAGTCCATATATGTTCAGGTATACAAGTATGAAAAACACTCTTTTTTCCCAGAATGTAATCCACGTGTCCATAATCCAGAATGTAATCCAGAAAAAAAGACTCATAGAAGGCCAAAAGATTTAGAGGTGACCAAGTAAAGCGAAATGGGTAACTTCCCATTAAAAATCTACTGTTTTCAGCTCCAAATAAGCTGCTGTTGAGGAAACTGTCTGGAAAATGGGAAAAAAAGGATGGGAAATCAGTTGAGAAAATTAAGAAAATGCAATATGTCCTTTTGGATCAACTAGCAATTAAGACTACAACCCCAATGGATCACAGAAGCTTGTTAGACAAATACGGTACATGTGTCCCCTTCAACCAAAAAATTTCCATAACCACACCAACGGATTGCAGGAAAAAAGAATTTGCAAATCTAAAAGTCTCCGTTGCTCATTCATGCAGTGTTAAATTTTGGGTTTTTTTTAACCTGATGCCAGAGGTTAAAAAACTCTCTTGAGAGGACGCATTTCGAAGTTCCCAATTACTTTCCAAGCTGACTGTTTGGTAAACACTAATTTAGTGTTATTCATGAACTCAACCAATGAGATTACCTAAAACAGGAATCAGAATATTCCAGACTTCACTTAGACTTTTAAACTTACCAATTAGACCACCAATATACTTCTGTTCTCTCATATCTGTGATACTTAACAGATCTGCTCCTTGTCCCTGACAAGAGACACGTGCCTCATTCCAGGAGAGAACAGAAAGAAGATTGATCTGGTAACAAATATGAGTATCTGCATTTATCTTCCAAAAAATATCACAGCCAGACCCTGGGTAGAAAAGACAGCATGATATTACAAAGTCATTAAGAAATATAACACTCCTAATGTAACGATCTAAATTAATTAACACCTAGTGGAAAAGTGGAAATGCTATAATGATATTACTATGAAGATACTTTCCATATTATTTTTTTTAATATAACTTTTTTTGTCTTATCACTGTATAAAATGCAAAGAAAAGTATAAATAGGAAAGTAAGTAAAGGAAAAGAGGGAGAAAGAAAATATGAGGAACAAGAGCAGAAAGAAATGGCATTGACTCCTGACTCTTTAATACAGTACAAGAAAACAACATTACAACCTCAATTTTTTTCTTTTACACATTGGTATATAAGTAGCCATTTCTATAACAATAAATCTATCTGATCAGAAAAATAAAAATCAGTTTCATTTTTTTTCATCACAAGCACAAAATTCAGAAGTGATATCCAAATAAAAAATAAATTCTGAATAGAACAATCAATTTAGCCATTATTACTTTATCTTCCTTGCTGTTAAAATATGTATTTCTATTTCCACTTAATTTTTACAAATGACCACCATTTATATTAACAAAATTCACTTTATTTCTTTAAGATCCTGTAACCTTAAAGAGAAAATATTTTTTTCATCCATTTTAAGGCACTAAGCTTTTCTAAAATTAAAACATTCTAATACATCTTTTTAAAAATTGCTCTTAGCGTACATCCTTCCCTGGGCATGTAGTCAGTTGGCCATCTTTTCATCAGAAGTTAACATCTGAGCATATTTTCCACAGTCTGATGTCAAAAATAAGTTGGGAAATAGGATGTACTCTGAAATTCAAAATTATCCTCCTACCTCAAATAATTTTTAATAATAATACCAGTGAATAATACAATTTAACAATTCAGCAAACAGTATTTTGAACTGGTAATTAGGAAATATACATCTCCACCATGCAACTACCATTCCAGTTATTAGCCTAATGTCCTCAGGCCAATGCATATATCATCGCTATAAACAAATAAAGAAGTGTATGAATTACTACATTACCAGAATTTGGACACAATCCCCATTTTTCATCTTGTTCATAGTGGCTTGTTGTGGCACACCAAGGATATCCATCTTCTCTGAAATCTCTGATACATTCATAATGCCATTTATTATTGTATTTAAATGGAAAAACACAAGGCAAACCAAGAGAATTTCCCAACAGGGTATACATTTCTGAATGGAAGAAAATACTGCTGATACATCATTTGGAAAGAAAATTGAAAAGGTATAAAAACCTTTAATGGATATTCTCCCCCCCCCCAAAAAAAAACCCCTGCTATCATAATAGTTTTGTGATTTGCCACAATAAATGTACTTTCACAGAAAGGAAGGACTCTGCTCTATTAATTTTTAATAAGGCTTACATTATGATAGCAACAACATGATTTGCACTTGGTAATTTTTATAATAGCATTTGCCCTCCGTCAGTTAATAAAACTGTCCAAAGGAGAAGCCATACAAGCCTGCTGCAGTAGCAACATCTTAAAGTCTAACAACTTCATTGCAATATAAGCCTATTGCTATGTAATTAATATATTTGCTATTTGTATTTTTGCAAGTTCAGGACGTGTGATATTCATGGATTTATAAGTACAGTACAAATTGCGTTTACTGAATTCTCAAGTCAAGCACTTCAATTAGAATATTTCTCAAGTAAAACAAACTGAGCAAGAATGGTTCATTACTATATTTTCAAGCCAGACATAAAGTTTAAAAGTCATTCCCATGTTATTGTTTTCATACTATGGAATTTTTTTACATGTAAGCCTTAAGAAGGACATGCAAGATGTGTCTTCTTGTATCATTACGCTGAACCCTAGGATGGCTATGGATTTTGTAATTCACCGGGTTTCTTGATAACTTAACTAAGATGAAAGATAAAGCTGATCCATAAAGATATGTAGAATTGACCTAAAAAGCCCCACATTGCACTGACAGGACTCTTTCCTTCTGCCATATACCTCAACACTGTATAATCGCAGAAAATCCAAGCAGCTAGGTAATGTTATTGTGGGCTAACTATTGGCCCTTCCATATTACTAATCATGGAAGTTATAAATCTAACCAATTCACATATTAACTCTACAACCTATTATAGATCCCTATGTGAATTGAGCCTCCTCAAGCTTCACAACTTGCCTCCTGCTTTGCTCCTCTCATGTAACCAAAAGGTTTTCCAGGGCGCTGCTCAGGAGAGTCCAAGCAAGGGACATACCCAGATTTTCAATTCAGCTAGCCCAGTTCTAGATGCGCTTTAAGTTTCTCTTTATTTAGTTTAGTAACCAAGAAGAGTAAACCAGAATTCACGTCTGCTTTATCCCGTGGCTTATTTCTGACCCGTTGAGCAACTAAATAGGCTTTATTTTATTCCATGAATGTTGATTCACATGGAAGAAATTTCACAAAATATTTACTGATCTGCCAGGCCTTGGAAATATGGACGATCATGTAAAAGCAGCGGTGAAATTCAATTTTTTTACTACCGGTTCTGTGGGTGTGGCTTGGTGGGCGTGGCAGGGGAATGATACTGCAAAATCTCCATTCCCACCCCACTCTGGGACCAGTCAGAGGTGGCATTTGCCAGTTCTCCGAACTACTCAAAATTTCCGCTACCAGTTCTCCAGAATCTGTCAGAACCTGTTAGATTTCACCCCTGTGTAAAAGGGAAGAAATATGCCAGCACAGTGCATAACATTT